ATTATAAGTATACCTACTCAATCTAGTGACAACATAAGCAATATCAGGCCTTGTACTATTCATTAAGTACATAAGGCTACCAATGATTTGGGCATATCTATTTTAACTCACACTATGTTGTGTATTTTTCTTAAGTTGAGTATTTCCATCATAAGGAGTTGAGATGGGTTTACTGTCTGAATACCCAAATTTCCTTAAGAAATTTTCAATATAGTATTGTTGTGATAACTTAAGACCATCATTTATCTTAATGATTTTAATCCCAAGAATAACATTTGCCTCTCCCATGTCTTTCATATCAAAATTTGAGGCAAGAAACTCTTTAGTCTTAATTATCACATCCATATTAGCACTAAATATTAACATGTCATTAACATAGAGACATATTATCATATAAGTGTTTTCTTCAAATGATTTAGAATATGCATATTTATCTGAATCATTAATTGTATAACCATTTGAGACTAACACTTGGTCAAACTTCTCATGTCATTGTTTTGGTGCCTGTTTAAGTCCATAAAGAGACTTTACCAGTTTACACACTTCATGCTCATTATCTAGGATAACACAATTCTCTGGTTGTTTCATATAAATTTCTTCATCTATGTCTCCATTAAGAAAAGTTGTCTTTACATCCATTTGATGTATATGTAATTTGTAAATTGCAGCTACAATAATTAACACTCTAACTTATGTTATTCTTGTTACAGGAGCATTAGTGTCAAAATAATCTATATCTTTCTTTTGTGTATAACCTTTGGCAATCAATCTTGCCTTGTATTTATCAATTGATCCATCAGTCTTTAATTTCTTTTTAAATATCCTTTTGCACCCTATTGGTTTAGTTCCAGGACGCAAACTAACTACTTCCCATGTATGATTACTCATAATGGACTCAATTTCATTATTTACTGCCTCTTTCCAAAGGGATGCATCACAAGAAGTCATTACTTCTTCATAAGTATGAGGATCATTCTCTGTAAAAAAAGACATAGTAATCATCACCAAAACTTTTGGCTTTCCTTACTCTCTTACTTCTCCTTATTTCTAACTTTGAACTTTCAGAAGAATTCTGAAGAGTTTCATTTTGAGGAGAACTCTCAAAAATTTCATTTTAAGGTAAAGCCTTTTCACAATTGATTTTCTTAGGAGAAACATTCTCAAAGAAATCTGCATTTTTAAATTCAATGATTGTGTTTGCATCATACAAACCAACCTCTTGTTTTATTACCATGAATCTATAAGCAGCACTATTCTTAGCATAACCTATAAACATACAATCAACAATCCTGGATCCTAACCTTTTTCCTTTTAGGTTCAGGAATCAGGACTTTACGAAACAACCCCATACTTTAAAATATTTCAGGTTGGTACATGACCTTTCCAGAGTTCATTTGGTGTTTTGCCTTTTTTCTTATAAAGAATTTTGTTTTGTATGTAACACGCTAAAAGCATAGCTTCCCCCCACAAATTCAAAAGTGCTCCAAAACTAATCAACATAGCATTTACCATTTCTTTTAAAGTTCGGTTTTTCCTCTCAGCAACTCCATTAGACTATGGAGAATAAGGAGATGTGGTCTCATGTATAATACCATGATCTCTACAAAAGGAATCAAAGTCATTTGACTTATATTCTCATCCTCTATCCGTTCTTAGTCTTTTAATTTTCGTATTGAGTTGATTTTCAACTTCATTTTTATAAGTTAAGAACATTTTAATTGTTTCATCTTTACTTCTCAAAAAGTATACTCTAGTATATCTAAAGTGATAATCAATAAAAGTTGTATAAAACTTTTTTCCTCCTCTGGTCATGGTTAATTTGTTTCAAATCTCCAAGATTATTGTGAATTAAATCGAGAAGCTCATTTTCTTGTTCTAGAATTGGTTTACAAGTCTTTTTAGTGGATTTAGATTCCACACACACACTACATTTATCAATATTTGAAATATTGACATTTGATAATGAACCAAGTTCTTTCATCTTTTTCAGATAACCATAATTCACATGACCTAATCTACCATGCCATAAATCTATTGAATTAATAACACAAGCAGAAGAAGATGCATTTTCATTCATAATGATATTAAGTACATTGAGTTTAAATAACTCTCCAAAACAATACCCCTTCCCAACAAAAGCCCCATTCTTGGACATTACAATTTTGTCATCCTCAAAGGAGACTTTCACTCTAACCTTTCCCAATACATAAATAGATACAAGATTATATCGAATGTTTGGAACATGTAAAACATTACTCAGTGAGAGGGTTTTCTCATAAGTAAGTTTGAGAAGAATTTTCCCTTTCCCAAATCAGGAGTACAACGGGAATCATCAAGGTAAACACATTCTTCTCCATCCCTCACTGGTATGTATTTATAGAAAGAATTTCTATCTCCACAGATATGCTTTGTGGCCCCATAATCAATTATCCATTCTTTCTTTTGAGCAACCATGTTCACTTGTGAACAACCACAGCAACAATAACACCATCTCCCTCAGCCAGATTGGCTTTAGGAGGATTTTTGTTGTCTCCAGCTTTTCCATATCTGCATTGGCTAGCAAAATGTCCAGTTTTCCCACACACAAAACAGTGTCCTTTCTTTTTTAAAGTATTGGGGTTCTTGTTGTTAAACAATTTCTTGTTATTATTCTTAAAACTCTACGGTTTCTTGTTCTTAGGTTGAGGAGGAGCCACTTGGTTTTCAACAACATTAGCCTTAGATGTCAATTCCTTGGGCTTATCGATTTTATCTCTAAGCCTATTCGTCTCTTCAATCCTAATATATACTATCATATCTTCTAAGCTCATTTGCTTCCGCTTATGGTTCATACTATTCTTATAATCTCTCCATGAATCTGGAAGTTTCTTAATCAAGCAACCACCCACAAAAGTTTCAGGAAGAATTATTTCTTCATTTTTCATGTCATTTATCAATAAATGATGATCATGGACTTGCATGAATACCTCTTTTTTTCTACCATTTTAAAATCTAAGAAGTTTCCTATGTCATATTTTTCTGATCCAACATCCTCAACAACATATTTCTTTTTCAGGATTGTCCATATCTGATGTGCAGTCTTATAAGCGCAATAAACATCATAAAGCTCATTCGATAAGGTACTGAGGATAGTTTGATGACCTACCTTATTTCCTTTCTTCCAAGTGTCAAGTTTTTTATCAAAATTGGTCACTCTAGGTTTTGGTTCTTCTGATTTGAGGTACTCTGCAAAATCGAGCACGTCTAGGGAGTCGAACACTTTTTCTTGCCACCTCTTGAAATGAGCTCCAACAAAGGGCTGAATTTTGGAGATATCAGGAAGAGACTTGGAGGTGAGAATTGCAGTGTCCATGTCGGCAGATTTCACTTAAAATTTCTGATCTTAAGATTGTTGAAAATTTATTACAAATTAACAGCAAAATAGTAGGAAAAATAGCAAAAAATCCAGCAGGAAAACAATAGTAAAACAGCAACAGAAACAACAGCAAATAGCAACAATACAACAGTGAAACAACAACGAAATAGCAGTAAAAAAGCAATGATACAGCAGCAAAACAGCAACATCAAGGTGTGCAAAAGCACTGTCCTTAAGATTAGAATTCTGCCTCTACTGGAAGAATCTTCGTGGTGCAAAAATGTTCAACAGCGGACTAACCTCCAGGATACGATGATGAACCTCCTTTTAGAGTGCACACTCTAACAGAGGTTTAAAGCAACATAAGGAAATGTAATAATGGTGAAGGGGAGCTGGAAAGTTAATAAAAAACAGTGGAAATAAGGATTCTCTCAAGTGAAATTGTATTTTTCAAATGAGAAACACACCCCTTTTTATACTTGAGAATCTGTCCGCTTTCCCTTAATTCATTCTTGTAGTAACCGTAGCAATTCAATTGCTTTTAATAGCATAATAGTCCAAGAATTCCATTACTCTTTTAATAGCATAACAGTACAAGAATTCAATTACTTTTAGAACATAACAGTCCAAAAAGCAATTAAAATTCGTATTTTGAAATACCATAACTGTCAGCTATTATCACACTGGGATCCTGAAACTACTGGCTGGATAAGAACGAATCCCCGAGGCCCTACAAGCATCATTTTCCTATTCTGATTTATTTGTTTTATAGCTCAATGATCATTGCTTCCACAAAGAGGCGCTAACATAAACAACTACAACAACCTTCAAAAAGTATTTTGCCATTCAAACTCGAAGTCAACCTTCAAAAGAAGCAACAACGAAAAACACAAATAGTTAAATGAAGTATTGAATAATACTTTGCAACTATTTAAACACTTCTTCACATTAAGTAGTGAACTGAGTAGAAACCAAAACAAAATGAATGATTGATTGAATTTTGAATAAAATTCAAATTTAATTCAAAGCGAAGTAAAGTGTTTAAGAGTGAGAAGAGAAGTCTGATTTTTTAGTTTGGTTAAATTGATGATGCCCTTTTTAGTAATTTTCAATTTAAAATATAAATTTTATTTTGTAAAATAATATTAGGGTTCAAAAAGAGTTTTGGCGGAGCTTAAATAACAACACTTTTAAGAATTACGGCAAATGTGAGGGAGTTGGATCCATTTTCTTTGAATTTTATTTCCTGAAAGTTCATGGAGACCCTGAGAATCGCCCGGTATGACCATCCAGTCTTTTTTTTTTTTTTTTTTTCCTGAAATTAAAGTTGCATCAAGAGAGGATCTTTATACTAAAAAACACTATAAAACTGGCCGAATTGGCACCTTTCCCACCTTAGTGTCAATCAACTCAACGTGTGTGGTGTCTGGCTAATAACATGTAGCAGATACGAAAAAGATAAAACACCCAATAGATTAATAGTGATACTTGATTTGGGAAGCAAAGCAAGCAACTTAGGCCTATTGCTGACTTTCTTTCTATGATATGTACAATATCTCAGACTTCTACAATATCGATCCACAAGAATTTTCTGATATCTCTGCACACTTGACACTTTCAGCTAGTCCCCAGTATATATGCTCTCTATCTACTCAATCTCAGCATGTACATAATCAATAAACACAAAGTTCTTTTGGAGTTCATGCAAAGCATAAGCAACCGCAGCACTTATAAGTGCAAGCACTGCCAAAACTACACGTAATTGCATATCTGAAGGAATCCCAGCAGTTGCACAGAATACAATCGTTGCACCAATTAGAAACTTTCGCCACATCTGAAATGCTGAATAAGCTCCCTTACACGATGAACACTTAAGAGTATGCTGCTCAAATCTATCCAGCATCTGCAACATATGGAATGAAACATACTCAGATCACTTGATAACATTTGGAGACTTTCGGTTGTTCACGCTAAACATTTATCTTCATGATTGATCCACTTAATATACACATTTTGCATTCACATACTTTGAAGGTCTACATTCAATATCAATATTCCTTTTAGATTTCTTGAAAGAATGGACTGTATAGGTTTTGTGTACCTGACGTTTTGACAAGACTGTTGACGGCAAAGGTTGTTGACTGCTAATGCCAAACCAGTCAGGCTGGCTTTTGCCATGTTGTCTCAACCAATTTCGAAATGCCAACACAAACCGATCTGCTTGTGTGGGTGTAAATGTAAGTTTTGTATATTGTTTATTCACATCCTCAGAACCCTCCATTGACAGCGCAAGAAAGATCTTTTCTTGGCCTTGAAGAACTATCATGTCTCCATCATAGACCTTATTTGAAGTCCAATGCTCATGCCATCTAGGAATCACCTGTCATAACCAGAGACCACATAAGAGGAAGTTCACCCATGTATAAGGACAAAAAGTTGCAAATATTAGTATTAATACAGAACATGATGGCATCAAAGATAACAGAGCTGGATTTCCCAAACTAGATGCTACATCTGTGTGTCTGTGCAAAGCATATGTGTGCTAGCACATGTTAAAGAGTAAGACAAAATTTTCCCAATTGCATAACCAACAGGACTTATGCACTCTCCACTTTCTGGATCATAACGTGTCCCTGAGTGAGTATGTGTGCACTTCCACAAGTCTGTTAAAAAGTAAGAGAAAAACTCCCCAGTTGATAACAAAGTTCGTCATCTAACAGGACTAAGTACTCTCCAATCGTAAAAATTTATATGACTTAGCACAGAAATGAGAAGAGAAAGTAAAATTGAGAGAATGGAAAGGCTCCCAAACACTGGACAGCATAAAAATGCAATTGGTTCTGATTAACACAAATGACCCACCACATAGAAGAATATTTTTTATCCCATTATTACAATAGCAACATGATGATCAGCTATCAGGTGAACTTATAAAAAGTATTAAAATAGTGTGTGGTTTAATACCCAACAAAACAGATAAATGTCATCATGTACTACAATATAGAAGTACTAAAAATGATCGGAATGCATTTTGAAGATTGGCAGTTGGGACCACAGATGAATTTTTCTAATTTTGAAGACCAGTTTACATATAATTTCAAATACATTTGTAATGCATTTTGGAAATCTGTACTTAGGCATATGAGAAGCAACTAGCATATGACACAAAAATAAATAAATAAATAAACAATAAAAAAGAAACAAAGAAAGAAAAGAATAGCATGCTATAAGTTAGATCATGAAAGTAGCAGAGTGATCAGAATTTCCATGCATATTGTACGATAAAAATTTCAGCAGAAGCACAATTGAAAGGTTCTTACCTGCCACCATGCAGGCCCTGGCATTGNTAAATAACAACACTTTTAAGAATTACGGCAAATGTGAGGGAGTTGGATCCATTTTCTTTGAATTTTATTTCCTGAAAGTTCATGGAGACCCTGAGAATCGCCCGGTATGACCATCCAGTCTTTTTTTTTTTTTTTTTTTCCTGAAATTAAAGTTGCATCAAGAGAGGATCTTTATACTAAAAAACACTATAAAACTGGCCGAATTGGCACCTTTCCCACCTTAGTGTCAATCAACTCAACGTGTGTGGTGTCTGGCTAATAACATGTAGCAGATACGAAAAAGATAAAACACCCAATAGATTAATAGTGATACTTGATTTGGGAAGCAAAGCAAGCAACTTAGGCCTATTGCTGACTTTCTTTCTATGATATGTACAATATCTCAGACTTCTACGATATCGATCCACAAGAATTTTCTGATATCTCTGCACACTTAACACTTTCAGCTAGTCCCCAGTATATATTCTATCTACTCAATCTCAGCATGTACATAATCAATAAACACAAAGTTCTTTTGGAGTTCATGCAAAGCATAAGCAACCGCAGCACCTATAAGTGCAAGCACTGCCAAAACTACACGTAATTGCATATCTGAAGGAATCCCAGCAGTTGCACAGAATACAATTGTTGCACCAATTAGAAACTTTCGCCACATCTGAAATGCTGAATAAGCTCCCTTACACGATGAACACTTAAGAGTATGCTGCTCAAATCTATCCAGCATCTGCAACATATGGAATGAAACATACTCAGATCACTTGATAACATTTGGAGACTTTCGGTTGTTCACGCTAAACATTTATCTTCATGATTGATCCACTTAATATACACATTTTGCATTCACATACTTTGAAGGTCTACATTCAATATCAATATTCCTTTTAGATTTCTTGAAAGAATGGACTGTATAGGTTTTGTGTACCTGACGTTTTGACAAGACTGTTGACGGCAAAGGTTGTTGACTGCTAATGCCAAACCAGTCAGGCTGGCTTTTGCCATGTTGTCTCAACCAATTTCGAAATGCCAACACAAACCGATCTGCTTGTGTGGGTGTAAATGTAAGTTTTGTATATTGTTTATTCACATCCTCAGAACCCTCCATTGACAGCGCAAGAAAGATCTTTTCTTGGCCTTGAAGAACTATCATGTCTCCATCATAGACCTTATTTGAAGTCCAATGCTCATGCCATCTAGGAATCACCTGTCATAACCAGAGACCACATAAGAGGAAGTTCACCCATGTATAAGGACAAAAAGTTGCAAATATTAGTATTAATACAGAACATGATGGCATCAAAGATAACAGAGCTGGATTTCCCAAACTAGATGCTACATCTGTGTGTCTGTGCAAAGCATATGTGTGCTAGCACATGTTAAAGAGTAAGACAAAATTTTCCCAATTGCATAACCAACAGGACTTATGCACTCTCCACTTTCTGGATCATAACGTGTCCCTGAGTGAGTATGTGTGCACTTCCACAAGTCTGTTAAAAAGTAAGAGAAAAACTCCCCAGTTGATAACAAAGTTCGTCATCTAACAGGACTAAGTACTCTCCAATCGTAAAAATTTATATGACTTAGCACAGAAATGAGAAGAGAAAGTAAAATTGAGAGAATGGAAAGGCTCCCAAACACTGGACAGCATAAAAATGCAATTGGTTCTGATTAACACAAATGACCCACCACATAGAAGAATATTTTTTATCCCATTATTACAATAGCAACATGATGATCAGCTATCAGGTGAACTTATAAAAAGTATTAAAATAGTGTGTGGTTTAATACCCAACAAAACAGATAAATGTCATCATGTACTACAATATAGAAGTACTAAAAATGATCAGAATGCATTTTGAAGATTGGCAGTTGGCACCACAGATGAATTTTTCTAATTTTGAAGACCAGTTTACATATAATTTCAAATACATTTGTAATGCATTTTGGAAATCTGTACTTAGGCATATGAGAAGCAACTAGCATATGACACAAAAATAAATAAATAAATAAACAATAAAAAAGAAACAAAGAAAGAAAAGAATAGCATGCTATAAGTTAGATCATGAAAGTAGCAGAGTGATCAGAATTTCCATGCATATTGTACGATAAAAATTTCAGCAGAAGCACAATTGAAAGGTTCTTACCTGCCACCATGCAGGCCCTGGCATTGTGAATTGGAAGAAGTTCCGGGCACTACAAACTATAGAACGAGTCTTCCCAGGTGCCATTGGTACATTGAAGGAACAAATCCATATTATCCATTTTTGGTCACCTACTATAGGAAGCTTTGTGTCTATCTCTATTCTGGAGAGAGGCCCAAAAAAAAAAAAAAAAAAAATGGTACAAGAATGATTAAGTTTGGAAACCCACAAGTCTTTCGAAAACAGCTATAATCCTCAAATCAACAAATCAGAGGAAAGTTTAAAAAACTTATTTGAAATTATAAATACAAGATGTGATATTTCTTCAACTTCCTTAAACTACAGCTGGGGTCAAACAACTCTGCACTGAGTTCAGATAACCGCTATTTATTGATAGCCTTGATAACTAAACTTTTTAATTTTGGAAAGAGGAAATGTTGGATGGGTAAGCCCCAAACATTTTCACAAAATAATATTATGACAAAATGTCTTTGTCGGGATTACTAAAAAATAATATACAATGAGACTGACAAACTATTCAATATCCCCAACTACTGAAGAACAAAGATCATAGACATGGAATTTCAGAATCACAAAAAAAAGCATGAGGATAGGAGTTAGCTTATCTCAGATGGCATGCAATTTTAAGGCTTATACAAAAGTGAACTTACTTGTTTATATAATAACATGGAGCAACAAACTTGGCACTAATCCTGGGGTTCCCATCATTTGCTCCAGCAAAGCCCCAAGGACCACTAGACTCCAACTTGAATGGCAATGGCTTCGCTCTATCCCTTCTTCCTGTAACCTGTGAGTCATGTCTCTCATTATGCAATGTGGAGATTTTTTAATAAAGGAAGTGAAATTAGTGTTACATTCGCCTAGCAATCTAGCCAGAAATACAAGGCCACCACGACAACTAACAATATACCAGCATGTAGACATAACATGGCCCAGAAAAATCCCAGGCACACCCTCAACTGGATGTGTTTTACGAAACTTAAGAGAAAACCAGGCAACAACAGTCAATAAGTAGGCCCATCATCATAAATAATCCAAATTTATCCATTATTTCACTTTCCAGGAAAAATAGTTCAAAAATAAAATAATTTCTGAATGACATTTTTTAAAGGAGAATAGGCCTAATTCTACTCACGCTTCCAGCCAATCGAACCCTTAGAACTGTTCAAGAGGGAAATCCTAAAGAATGTAAACTAGTTCAGTCATCTGAGATGCATGTGTGGCCTGTGAAGTAGGTAGAATTGTAATTGTTTCATATCCCAGGTACATTTTGACAACTTCTCAATGATGTTGAGCAGATCATTTACAGTACTAACTCAATCTTAATGCAATGCTCTCAGGCTAGCCATATTAAATAAGGACTTTTTTTTCCTCAAATAATTCAAGAAGACCTCGTTTTGTAGATAATAAATCCCAGAATACAGCTGACTACTAGCAGATTACCATGTTTGAGACACATATTGAATTGTGTATTAACCCAACTAGTATTGCACAAATGGCACTTGGCAATATTATATTTCCCTATAATCTAAACTACGCCAATCCACAGTATCTTATACAACCTGCAGCTGTTCTCTGATAATTGAATGGAAGGATTCCAAGAAAGATGTTTTATTTCAAGTGTGTACCTTGTGATGAGCAAAATCAATGTGAGAAGGATCTGAGACATTTTCCATCAGAGTGTCATAGCCATAAAACAGATCACGTTGAATTGTCACCGTTGAGAATTCGGGTTTGTCAAAGTCATCAGGCAACCTAAAATCATCATAATAATAGTACACAATCAAAATGTTAACCAGACAGTACACTTTGATCAGCAAGCCTATTAATTGGTTTCATCCATAGACAAGAGTCAGAACAGAGAAGTTGAGTCAATTACAGTGGGGGCTTGGTAGCATTGGCTCTTTCCCAACCATTCTCATCTGGCCAAACAAAGAGCAGACCTTCAGATACCATTGTAGGAAATCTTGTAGCACAAGCTCTAGGAGACCGAAATGCACGAGCTTCAGGACCTTCAGATGCTGCCTGAGGAATCCGAGTGCAGGATCCACACCCATCAAAGGACCACCCATGGTATGAACACTGCAAGTGCCCATTTTCTTCTATCCGCCCTTCCTACAAAACAAGAGGAACCCATCAATCGTATTAACGATGGCAACTTCTCAACTTGGTTGCCACTATAAACTAGAAACTGAAAGGTTCTAAAATGGCAAATAGTTTATTTAAATTAATGGTGACAACTGAAATCTGGAGAGAGAGTTTATATGAGGCTCTTATTGGAGAAAACAGGTAAAGGAGGAGATTGAAAAGAATTAAACTTTTTTAATTATAGAACATTCACAGTTCTGGACACTAGAAAAAAACCTCCGCTCATCTTATCCTGATACAACTACCTCATCCAACTAATCATTTTTTTGGAAATCAGGCCCACAATTTTACTCCTTCCATTACCTCTCAGCTCTTATGTCGACAATTTATAGTCAAAAATATATTAAATTACAATACTGCTATTTTCCAGTTAAATTACAAAATAAAACAAAAATCAAATCGAAGATAGAGAATTGAGAAGATTACCGATAATGGGGCAAGTCTATGCGGGCATTTATCATCAAAAGCAACCCATTCTTTATTATTGTTATCAAACCAAAGTACTAAGTCTCTACCCAGAAGTTGAAATGGTGTGGGCAACATTTGATCCAAATCTTCTACCAAAGAAACTGGATACCAATGATCCCTCCAAGAGAACTTAGAATCCGTACTCTCCTCACCAAACTCATCATCAACTGATCTGTACTCTTCTTCCTCTTCTCTTTTAACAGTTTCTTGATCTGAGGCCGGTACTGATGGAGGAGCTGCAACACGTAAAGGAGAGAAATTGAGATTCCTGGTTCTTTTCAGTGAGTTCGTTATGGACAATTGTTGTTTTGGGGTTCTGGTGGACAAGAAAGGAAGAGTTTTTTGTTGTGATGAAGTGACATAAGCATTAGTAGAGAGAAGTAGCGCCATTTCTAGAGTGGTTTTTCAAGTTTTGCCTTAGTTTATTCAAGTTGTTCAATTGTTTAATGTTGTAGAAAGAGAAAGTAAACTGAGGCTTCCAGAGACACAGAACTTTGCGTGCAAGTTTGAGAGTTAAGCACTCGATGTCTGTCTGGCTGTTTGTATTCACGCCAGAAAGCGAAACGAACTGCTCTAGCCTCTATGTATGATTTTTCCACTTTGAACCCATTGCTTTTGGTTTCAGTTCTTTAACGTTGCGGCAGCCAATTAAATGTCTACACGATAGATGGTGAAAGGTTCAATTACGGATTTACGGTCATTGTGTCGTGTTTTGATTGAAAAACTCTAGAAGGGAAATGCCGATGGAAGATAGTCTCTCGGCTTCTCACAGCCACAATTAATAACGTAATTAACGGTAATATAAATTTAAATATGTAGAGAAACGTGTCACTCAGAGGTGGCACGCGTACTCTGGATGCATCAAGTTTCCCACGTTGATAACTCACGACAGTCAAACCGGGAACCAATTTTCTCATCCAATTAGCCAACCCAACTTGTCTTTTCTATATTTAATAAAGATAATAGAGTGACTTTTATCAATCAATTGCTAACCAGTCTTTTCTTTGTAAGGTTTGACGTAAAGACTATCAAACCAACAATATTAGTAACAATATTAGCAAACTTAAAAGGGCTAACGGGTTTGCTCCCCCTCCCTTTTAGGTTTAGGTTTAAATTGCGAGAATCATTGTTAATATTATTGGTTATAGACAGTGGCGGATTTACTTAATGACGAGTGGGGACCACGGCCCCCACTCAAACTTTAAAAAACTTCACATTGTATCAATATTTATATTTAGTTGCATTTTACCCCCTATAAGACTTTGACATGTTGCCCCCACAAATTTTTTTGTTTATTTTTTGCCCCCATCGAGTGAAATTCCTGGATCCGCCACTGGTTATAGACTATAGGGTTATAAGCTATCCCTTAATCTCAAGCCTTTACCATTCGACCAATTCATTATTGATTTGATAGTCTACATTAAACTATACAAAAAAAAAGACTAGTTAGCAATTCATTGATGAAGTTATTCTACTGTCTTTATTAAATCCAAATTATCCAAGTAACTATAATTATAGTTAGTGAATTTCATGCAATCGGGTAACATAAGTTTTTTTTTTTTTTAAGGGTTTATGGGTTTTTTATGATCGAGTATGTTCGGGTCAGCTTATCTCGTACCTTAACTAATATTCTAGAACTGTAAAACTATCGACCGAATAAAGACTCTAACAATTACCTTTATTAATAACTGAGGGACTCAAACTCAAAACTTTTTAAGTAATACATCTAAAAGTCTCTATCGAACTATTTAACCATCCATAGATAATTAACATAAGATATTATCAAGTTCAAACTTCAAAGTATAAATGTAAAAGCTTCACAAATAATTAAACACTTACATATTCGTAATTATTGATAATGACCAACTTTTAAACACCCGACTTTAATAACTTTTAAAATCAGCAATGTTATGCTGATATTAGGTCTTGTAGAACATACAAATAAATCACATCAAGGTTCCTTTCCAACCAGAGTCTCAGAAAATTCATAGAGCGCCCACGGCAATTGCACACCAAAACCTAAGAAAGGTGCAACTTTTTTATCATACACTTCGTCAAATCAAACATATCCCGAGTGGTGGGGTTCAATTTTTTCTCTGACTCTGATAATGCACACTTGCAGAGGGGATTAGTTCAATTAATGATCACCTCTCTGCGCATCTTGGTAAATTTATTCCCATTCAGACTTGTTTATATTATGGGATTTAGAGAAGGAATAACCTCTACTCTCTAGATAAAGATATCTACAACTGCAATGGGAAGGAGAGAAATATGCGAACCTTCTAACATATGCAGCTGACAGCAATGGGCTGAACCAGGCCAGCACTCATTCAAAAAGTTTCTGGAAAGTAGCTGCTTGCTGTAGGTAAAACAGAATCATAGAAATGATCTCAAAAATCAAACACATTCCTTTCACCCAAAACCCAAACCAAAATGTAGTAAAGAACTGTCTGATTTCCCAAAGTCTCCCAAACAGCCAAACCCAGATATAAACACGACAGATTGAGATTTCCAAAATTGTCTGCTAAACTTCTCTACTCCTAAGACAAATTGAGGGGTCAAACTAAAGAATAGAAGCACAAACACTAAGTGTATCTAGATTTGTTCGGAGGAAGATATGTATACAGTACTAGGTCAGTAAGTAATTCCAGAATTTGGCTGTTAAACATGCAACAAGGAAATAAGTACCCTGGGCTAAAGAAATAAAATTTCTTATCTCCTTAACGAAGGAACTGCTCTGTCACCAGCTAGAGGGGAGAAGTTTCACACCTACCAACAAGTATCAAATACTCAATAAAGAACGCATAACAGTTTATTTATATTAGATATTAAGCTTTAACTAGTATATTTTCACCTTACAGTTCTTATACAAAGAAATTTTATACTCACTGTCAATTCCAAATTTTAAAATATTGATGACCATGAATCAGTCTCAATATTGCTCATCTAGATGAGATAAAACAATTAGATCTCTTGGTCCAGCTCCATGAGTCTGAGAGACCAAATTTCAGAAACTTCAACTCAGAAAGCACACAGATGAACGCGCAAGGGTTACTTCCATCCAGAAAAAATCTTTCACATGATGAATCATTTCTTTGGATAAGTTTGATGGTCGGGTCCAATGTCACGTGAGCCAGTGTTTATGTAAGGCCCTCGAAAAGTTGCTTGTGGTGGCAGTGGCTTTGATGAGTCAATCACTGGCCCTTTCCTTGATGACCTGATTGATAGAAATTACATCATGTGAACGTTGGCTCTCTCAATAATATGTGCATAACAACACAGAAACCTTTGTACTTACGCCATGTAAAAGGGAAATGCCAAGCCTGCTCCAGCGAAAGCCACTAAGCCAGCAGCCACAATGACATTCCGTGCTCGATTCATTGAGAACGTCCAAGCTGCTTAAAAGAAAATGGTCTACAAGAGGAAGGAACACAAAAATGTCACTAAATAAATTTCTAAATAGAATCTGAAAAATAAATTTTAGTACATTAATTAATAAATTTCACATTCAAGCAAACAATATGTTTTCTCACTTCAGGTAAACTATGTATCGGAAGCTATTCAACAATATACAATTTATGGTTGATGCTTCATCACAAAATAAAACTTCCATACAATTAGTGCAAATCATGACATTCAATCTTTCTTCCTAAATATTTTTGTAAACTCATGAATAAAAATTTTAATCCGCTACCATAATCACTCTCTCTCAGGCTTACAAACCAAAACGAGCTTTTTGGTTTTAAACTTGGTTTCTCTTACCCTGCACATCAATAGCACATATAACCCATCTAGTTGTTCTAGCAAGAACATAATGAAAATTTCAAATTTTGATAAACCACAGAAGTTGCCTCAAATTCCTAGCTTTGACATTCACAATGACTTCTTCGCAACAATCTCACTAGTTGTCTATACTAAAATCAATTCTTCATGTCCATAGCTGATTGAAGTAATAACACTAATAATCAATAAAATTTTAAAAGAAATTTCAAACAACTAAAATAACAAGATTATTAGTGGAAGATGCGAATATTACAATCTAAACAATTTCAAAGCTATCAGTAGAAATTTGATTGAGAAATGAGAACATAACAAAATTAATAAAACCTAGCTCGAGAAAGAGTTAGATGGAGCTACCTAAGAGCACCGAAAACTCGGAATCAGCGACGCGAACCTAAAGCAATTTACGAGTAATTAGGTTAAGATTTTGTCAGTGTGGTTTCAGCTAGTGAGCTTCCAGCAGCTTAATCTGAGGGATGAAAATGAAGTGCATTTAGAAAGTTTTTTCCGGAGGTGGACTGGGAGGAAATTTAACTCCCTAGACATCCCAAGTTTGGATTTATAAAAATAACTTCAAAAAATTTTGCAATTTTTTTTAAGTTAAAAAAACGGACGTAGCCACTTAGGATTCATTAACCATGTAAAATGGGTTCAATTAAAAAGATTTAAACATATATGGGTAATATATAATTAACAAAAGTTTGTTTAAATTGTGAAAATTGCAAACGACCCCCCTCTCCAATCAAAATTGATTAAGCGGACTCAATCGCTTAATCGACCCTAAGAAAACCCGACGAAACAACCACCCTTCACCACATTTTTCTTGTCGTTTTCTGCCATCCATTGTCGCAATCGTTTGTTGTTTGTATTGAAGACATTCCCTCTTAGAAAGAAACAATGGCTGACCCAAACAAAGATTTTGACAAAGACCCAGCCCCTCTTCAAATCGTGGACACCAGTGGTTCCAAAATTGGAAAATCGAAGGTTGTGGTGGAGCAAATTCTGATGACTGAAGTTGGTCCAATAAGAAGCAATACGAAGCCGGTAGAAGACAGCCCGCCAGGTGAACAAGGGAGGGAAGGAGCCGAAATTGTAAATGAAGAGGAGGATGCCGGAGCAATGTCAGGTGAAAAGGAGGAAGAAGATGAAGTAAATGTAATAATCTATATATTTTATGAAATTATTGGTTGTTTTAGGGGATATTTGGTTGGTGTGTTGTTAGGGTCATTGTTGCATTTTGTCGAACAGTTGGAAGGCATTGGAGAAATGGGTGTTTTGGTCTTCCAGAGGGTTGGGGAAGCCAATGAAGGCCCTAGAGAGGTTGTTTGTGGCAGTTTGGATGGCTTTTGTTGGCAAAGAAAGTGGAATAGAGGGGGCTAGAGGGTTGCCCTGCATATTGCAGGGCTGTCCATGCGCAGCCAGCCCTGTAATATGCAGGCAAGCCCCGAGCCCCCCGTATGCAACTCTCTTCTACGAAGTCTAGAGCACCAAACTTGCCACAACAGCCTCCCTTGTCTTCATGGACCTCTAGAAGCCAAAAACAGCCACTCCTCCAATGCACTTCAACATGCTGCTTGTTTTGGTTTTTTGTTGTGCTGATATGTAATGTATATCAATTGTGCAGTGTTATAAGAGCATAAATTATAAGGATTATGGGCTTGAGGTTGTAAATGATGTTGTGCCCTACTTTCCGGCAAGGGTTACCGTTAGGTCTAGTTGGCAAGTGTTTAAGAAAATTAAGGACATTCTAGGTGGTCATCAAAAAGGGATGAAGTGATTCAGAAACTCATGTTTTGGTCATTTTGTGGGGTTGGGAGATAATTGGAGTAAGGCCTTCTGGGGGCAGGGTGCACATTATCTTTTGGTGCATGCTGTTAAATGCAAAAAGAAGAATAAAATGTGGTTTTTGGTTTATTGGAAAGCCGATTCGGTTTGGGATGATGGAATTCTGTTTAATGATGGGCCTAAATTGTGGGCCATTTCCAGACGTAAAAGTTGAAGAAATGGTAAAGAATAGCAAGGCTGCCAAAACGTTTGTTAGAAAGGTGTTCACAGGGCAGCAGTCAATTACGGGTCATGATTTAGAAGAGAGGTTAGAAGCAGAAGGAAATCAGTATAGCTCTTCAGAGAAGTTTCGAATGTGCTTGGTATGGTTCGTGCATTCAGTCTTGATGGCTTCTAACTCAACGAAAGCAGTAAACCAGGATTGGGTGCGATATGCTAGTAATGAGGACTTCTTTTGTTCTTATCCGTGGGAAAGGTTATCATTTAAGTTAACCATCGATTCCCTACAAGGAAAAGACATGGCGATTAAATACCGCCAATATGCTGAGAAGCGGAAACCCAGTACATACAATTTGCTTGGCTTCCCTTGGGCAATGCAAGTAAATATTAATAGGTTTTAGTTAATTTTTTGGTATTATATTTGTTTTAAATCTGATTTGGATTTTTTTTGGTTTTGTTTTATTTTTACAATGTAGGCTTGGTTGTATAAGACTATCCCTATCCTAGTTAAGGGGGGGATGAGGCACTGCAGTTTCCTAAGATGTTGTGGTGGCACACCAAGAAGAGCATCCATTGGGACTATGAGAAAATTGAAATGGAAATTGAACTGGTTCAGGTAAGATTAAAGGATTTGTGTTTTGAATATGTAATAGATTAAATGGTTTTTGTAAATTTGATTGATTTTTTTTTCTTTTTGTAGGGAGTGGTCCATCCGTTCATCACTCCTACTAGGGCTGAATCAGTGATGGATTATGTTACATCGTTCAAATCATTGGACGATGTTTTTGATGAGATGATAAACTGCCTAATGCGAGACTTAGAAGAAGTCATGCATTTGACTATAGTGGAAGGGCTGTTTGTTAAGCATGTGACTGAGGCCGAAGGCCAAGTAGGCGGGACAGATGAGGAGGAAGACATGGAGGCTAATGTTCGTATGCCTCCTTCTAATTGGCAAACAGGTACACCAAGTATTGGTTTGACACCAAGTACCAGTTTGCCTACGCATCTTGAATCTAAGTTGGTTGACCTCATAAACGGTCTACACAACAAGTTTGACTTGTTAAGCGACAAGTTTGACATGTTGAGTTGCACCGTTTATGAAAAGGTAGATCAATTGGAAGAGAGGGTGCAAAGGGTGGAGGAGAAGGTTGATGTGCTGTTGGAAATGGAGGAAGTTCAACCTAAGAAAAGAGAGACCCAAAAAAGCAAGCATGTGACATCTCCTTTCATGCAATTAAGGTATGAAAAGAAGAGGAGAGTTGCGAAAGAAAAGGAGGAAGCTGGAGGAAGTGGGGAAGCTAAACCGGCTGATACAGAGGAACAAGGAGGAAGTGGGGAAGTGAAGTAAGCTGATACTGAGGAACAAGGAGGAAGTGGGGAAGCGCAGCAAGCTGATACGGAGGAAGAACGAGGAAGTGGAGTAGTGAAGCAATTAAAGCTTGATTTGTTTAGGGCAGTAGATGAGGAAGGGAAAAAAATCCTTTTATGCCTAATACAATGATGAACAAAATGATATGGTTGTAAAGTGCAAGACCGGGGATTATCCCCAAAAGTGGTTTGATCAAATTTTGATAGTGGGTCACTGGGTTGATGACTCGGTGAGTTATTTTCTCATATTTTGCCTTATTTTTGCTTATGTTTTCCATGAGGTATTGTGTGATCGCTTAAGCGATCTGTACAGCAATCTATTTTGATTTGATGACACTTATCATGTTGTTTTATTTTGATGCAGCACATTGATGAGGTTTTGGCACTTATGAGGTTGCGACAAAGCACTGAAGGTGACATTTTTTATCTGCATTGTGCCATAGCCAATGTGTCATTTGGCCAAAGCCTAGTAAGCGTACATGAGAAGTTAATGAAAAAGGCCAATGATGGAGGAGTCACAAGGGGATGTAAGCGGAAAAGAATGGCCGCAAATGAGTATGACGGTGTCCTTGCTAGCTATCGATTTGATGAGAAGATGATGCAGTATGTAAGGGGGGAAAGGCCCAAATATGGCAAGAGTTGGGCAAATATAAAAAGAGTATACTGCATCGTTAACATCAAAGATATGCATTGGATAGTTGTCGTCTGGCAACTAGATGAGGGCTTGCTGCAGATTTTTGATTGCAACCTCAGTATTTGTCGGGGGAGGCAGTTAGAGAAGGAGATAGAGCTACTGTGTACATTGTTCCCGCGGCTGTCACGAGAGAGTGGTATGTTTCAGCACTTAGGTGATGAACTATTGACGCGAAAGTGGCAACACAAACGCATTCCCGTCCCGACAAATGACGCAAGATAAATTTTGTATAAAACTTACATAATACAATTGCTTTATAAGCTGATTGCAATACTAATGTCTTCCTCATATTGTAGTGCTGCTTGTAGGGTATATGCACTAAAATTTCTGGAGTTGGACATGACCAACACCCCAATAGACGGCTTGAATGATGATACAATAAGCAAATTTCGCGGGAGCGCTTGGCTATTCAGTGCTTTTACGATCATATGGATCCATTAGTTACCACGGAAGGTATGCTTGTGATCACTAATCTATAACAGTTTTTTTTTTTTTTTCGCTGTTTTCATTATTAATACAGATTCTACTGATGGTTGTTAGGATTGTGAAGCACGCCATGGAAATTATCAACCTTTTGGCTA